GACTTTTGGGACCTATTTGCGGATTTTTGGGACTTTCGGGACTATTTCTCCATTTGTGGACTTTCGGGACCATTTCGAGATTTTTGGGACTTATTTAGGAATTTTGGTACTTTAAGAACTAATTCAGGATTTTTGAGACGTATTTCGGATATTTGGGACTATTTCGGGATGCTCGGAACTATTTTCGGGATTTTTGGGGCTTTCGGGAGTATATCGATTTTTTGGGACTAATTTTGGACTTTGGAACTTTCGGGATTTTCAGGAGTATTTCGAGATTTTTGGGACCTATTTCCAGATTTTTGCAACTTTCGGGACCATTTCTCCATTTGTGGAAGTTTCGGGACCATTGCGAGATTTTTGGGACTTATTTAGAAATTTTTGGACTTTGGGAACTAATTCGGGATTTGGGACTTATTTCGGATTTTTGGGACTTTCGGGACTATTAAGGATTTCTTGGATCTATTTTCGAGATTTTTGGGGCTTTCGGGAGTATACCGATTTTTTTGGGACAATATTTGGATTTTTGGAACTTTCGGGATCATTTCGGGATTTTCAGGAGTATTTCGGGATTTTTTGAAATAATTTCGGATTTTTGGGACCATTTCTCCATTTGTGGGACTTTCGGGGCCATTGCGAGATTTTTGGGCCTTATTTAGGAATTTTGGGACTTTGGGAACTAATTCCGGATTTTTGGGAATATTTCGGATTTTTGGGACTTTCGGGACTATTTCGGGATGCTCGGAATATTTTCGGGATTTTTGGGGCTTTCGGAGTACATCGATTTTTTTGGGACTAATTTTGGATTTTTGGAACTTTCGCGACATTTTCGGGATTTTCAGCAGTATTTCGGGATTTTTTGCAATAATTTCGGATTTTTGGGACTATTTCGGATTTTTGGGAGTTTTGGGACTATTTCGGATTTTTGGGAGTTTTGGGACTATTTCGGATTTTTGGGACCATTTCTCCATTTGTGGAACTTTCGGGACCATTGCGAAATTTTTGGGACTTATTTAGGAATTTTGGGAATTTGGGAACTAATTCGGGATTTTCGGGACTTATTTCGGATTTTTGGGAGTTTTGGGACTATTTCGGGTTTCTTGTATCTATTTTCCGGATTTTTGGGGCTCTCGGGAGTATATCGATTTTTTTGGGACTAATTTTGAATTTTTCCCAAAAATCCAAAATTAGTCCCAAAAATCCCGAAATACTCCTGAAAATCCCAAAAGTCCCAAAATCAGTTCCGAGAAAACCGAAATAGGCCCGAGAGTCCCAAAAATTCCGAAATACAGCAAAAAACCTCGAAATTACTCCCGAAAATCTCGAAATACACCCGAAAGTTCCAAAAATCTTAAATAAGTCCCAAAAATCTGGAAATAGTCTCGAAAGTCCCAAAAATACCCAAATTACTCCCTTTAATCCCGAAATAGTCCCAAGAGTGCCAAAAATCCGTAAATACCCCGAAAGTCCCAACAGTCCCGATATTAGTTTCGAGAATTCCGAAATAGTCCCGAAAGTCCCAAAAATCCCAAATTAGTTCTCAAAATCCCAAAATTCCTAAATTAATCCCAAGAATGGAGAAATAGTCCCGAAAGTCCCAAAAATCCGAAATTAGTCCCAAAAATCCCGAAATACTCCTGAAAGTCCCAAAAGTCCCGAAGTCAGTTCCAGGAATAACGAAATAGGCCCGAAAATCCGAAAATAGGTCCCAAAAATCCCGAATTAACTCTCAAAATCCCAAAATTCCTAATTAATCCCAAGAATGGAGAAACAGTCCCGAAAGTCCCAAAAATCCGAAATTAGTTCCAAAAGTCCCGAAATGCTCCTGAAAACCCTGAAATGGTTCCGAAAGTCTCAAAAATCCAAAAAGACCCAAAAAAACCGATATACTCCCGAAAGCCCCAAAAATACCGAAATATATTCCGAGAATTATGAATAATCCTGAAATAGTTCCGAAAGTCCCATAGTTCCTAAATTAGTCCGGAAAATTCCGAAATGATCCCGAAAGTCCCAAAAATCCAAAACAAAGTCCCGAAAATCCCGAGATACTCCCGAAAATCTGAAATTATTCCTTAGAATCCCGAAAATTCCAAAAAATCTGGAAACTGTCCCGAAAGTCCCGAAATTACTCCCGACAATCTCGAAATAGACCCGAAAGTTCCAAAAATCCTAAATAAGTCCCAGAAATCTGAAAATAGTGTCGAAAGTCCCAAAAATACATTAATTACTCCCGACAATCACACGAGCCCCGAAAATCCCTAAATAGTCCCGAAAGTTCCAACAGTCCCGAAATTATTCCCGAGAATCCCGAAAACCCCATAAATCCAAAATAAGTTCCAAAAATCTGGAAATAGTCCCAAAAGTCCGAAATATGTCACAAAAATCTCGAAATTAGTCCCGAAAATCCCAATATTAGGTCGGAGAATTCCGAAAGTCCGAAAAATCCGGAAACAGTCCCGAAAGTCCCAAAAACTAGAAATTAATCCTAAAAATCCAAAAATAGTCCAGAAGTCCCAAAAATTCTGNAAGTCCGAAATAAGTCCCAAAAATCCGTAAATAGTCCCGACGTAGTCTAGAAAATCCCGATATTAGTTCCGAGAATCCCAAAATCTCAAACAAAGTTTCCGGGAATCCCTAAAGAATTACGAAATAGCTTCGAAAATCCCAAAATAGTCCCGAAAACCCAAGAAGACCATTTCTAAATCCTGATTTAGTCTGAAGTATCTCTCAAATCTAGAAACAGTTCCCAAATTGAGATGTGGTGAGTTTAGGTGAGGTGAGGTGAGATCGAGTGTGATGAGTTCAACTGTGGTGGGTTAAGATTTGGCGGATTTTGGTGTACCAGTAGGAGGTGTGGTGAGTTTAGGTGAGGTGTGGTGAGTTTGTATGTGGTGAGTTGATTTGAGGAGAGGTGAAGTGAGTTGTGGTAAAGTAAGTTGAGGTGTTAATTCTCTAAATTTCTCCTAAACTATACAGTATTTAGTTTGAAAGTATTTAGCCATCGACTAAAATACCTTGGTACTTTAGTGAAAGTATTTTGCATCCCCAAGGTACCTGAGTACTTAGGACTCCTGCTAAATAAGCCTGCTAAATACTTTCGTTTTTTGTACTTTGGTATCTAGCAGCTCCTAAATACTCAAGTTTTTCTTACTTTAATATCTAATAGCTCCTAAATACCTAAATACTTTTTACTTGAGTATTTAGCACCACCTAAATACCTAAGTAAATAGTACTTGGGTATTTAGCAGCTCCTAAATACCTAAGTAAATAGTACTTGGGTATTTAGTCATCTCAAAATACTAAGTATTTGTGTATTTAGTACCCAAAGTGGTACTTTAAGTACAAAAGTATTTAGGTGTGCCCATCACTGCTTTAAAGGAAAGTTAATTTACGGTAGATACTTTTAGCTTAACTAAAACACTTGGTTTATTTAGGGGAATCTCTTGTTTATAATAATAATAATAATAATAATAATATAATATCTCTTGCTTATTTGCGATTAATCCGAACATCAAACAGTCAAGTATTTATAAACGCCCGAATTAAAAATGCGTATATTTTAGTTTAAAATATTGCTAAACTTATTCCGTTCTTATTCTTCCAAGTTGTATTTGCTTTGTTTTAAAATATGGATAATAATTCATGAGATTAAGTTAACTAACGCACTGTTTAAATGCATTGTTTTAATGATTTTCATCTTAAATAGGGAAATTAGATGTTTACAACAATAGCAGCACCTTTGAAGGTGATTTGGCTACTACTTCCGCTACTACAGGCAGCACCATAGCCGTCGCTTCTACAACATCTACAGCAAATTTTATGCAACAAACAGCCGTGGAATGGTTAGCAGCAATGAACGAAGCTCAGACATCTATTGGTAAGTTTTGACCATGGTATGATGAAGGTATTGGTTATTACCAGGGCTGGCAAAAATGTGCATAAGAAAATTGATATAAGCGCTTTAAGAAGTCCAATAAATAAACATAATATGCTAAATCAGTGAAGTTTTATTTAAATCTTTCGATATTCTTATTCAATAATTTCGGAATTACGGTATAAATTTACATGCCTTTTTAAATTTTCAATCATAAATGATCTTATGCGACAATTAAATTTAATGAAGAATTTGTTAAACTTCTTTCCACATCCCTATATGTATGCAGTTGGAAATAATTAAACTTAATTCTGTTGAAGTAAATAACGCCCTGCGACAACCAAACAATTCCAAAACACAGGAAACTGTCAATATATACTGAGGGAAAAAATATTAAAATCAAATAGAAACGTAATTGATCTTACTATAAACGTCAACGAAAGTACTATTGGTAAATATTCAATTCAATTACGCGCATATTAAAATGGCCGCGTTCGTTCTGAAAAAACATCCGTGAAGTGAATAATCAATATAAAAACCAAAAAAATATATTTAATTTGCATGTTGCCTACAATTTGAATAATCGAATTTGTGTTGTTGTAGCGGCAACTAAACCCCGTTCGGGTCGGTTCCTCCATCAACATTGTCGACTGTTTCAACCTCATTTTCATTGATATTAAAAACTGTTCAAGAGCGTAGGTTTTATTTATTTTTTGTAATAATTTTTAAGGGTAAATATTTATGAATTTGTTGGTCAAAATATAAAAATAATAGTCTTCTCCACCACTTTTTCACACAGAAAAAAACCATATATGCAAAATTTTACTCTAAAATATTCTGTTGAGAAAAAAATGGATCGCAAGGTGGAAAACCGTTATTTTTACTTGTAGGCTGTCGCGAGTTAACGACGCTAACCTAAACACTAGATACATACACATATACATATAATCATTATTCACGAACCAAAATACATACAAACAACTATATGCCCTTTAACCTTGTATGATAACATAATAACAAAGAGAATACGATAGACAAGTATAAACCCGTAAACATCTTTTTAATAACATAAACAATTATATTCGGTGATAAGTAACAAAGCATTATGATAACATAATGCTAAACATGTAAACATCTTTTTATCACCAAACAAACAATAGTTAGAAATAGTATAAATAGATGTAAGTGTAAAAA